TGTAGCCCAGGCTAATCCTCCTGTCTTAGCCCTCTCGGTACTGGATTACAATTATGGTATGAGCCACTATACTTGACCTTCTTAACTTTTAATTTTTTTTTGTATTTCTTCGTGCATGTGTGTGTATGTGTGTGTGTGTATGTATATGTGTGTGTGTGTGTGTGTGTGTGTGTGTATGTGTGTCTGTGGATGCACATACAAAGTGACACAGTACAAGTGAAGGTCAGAGGACAACTTGCAGAAGCTGGTTCTCTATGCAAGTTCTGGGAATCAAACTCAGGTTGTGAGGCTTGGAGGCGAGTGCCAGCTCCCTTCTTAACTTTTCATTGAAGCTTATGGACTAGCATGGGTTTTTAATCTATAGAATTTCAAGAGCTTGATAGACAGATGCCTAGAAATCTGTGAAAAGTAGGGTAAGGGTCTTGAGACATTACTGACTTTCAACTCCTTCAGAAGTACCATGGAGAAAAGTGAGTTTCCAAGCGCTCTGGAGTTCTTCATTCCTGTCTGCCATCCAATTACAGGTGGGGAAATGTGACTGACTATACCAGAGTGGGGGTTCACCCTTGACTCGCTGCATTGGAACCTCCTGGGATTGTCTTAGGTTCACAGTTTCTCTGTGGGGCACTTATCTTGTACAGAAAAAGACAACAGGCTGAGTAAGATATTCTCTCTAGGCCAATTGGCTGGTCAGCTTAGTAACAATTGAGTTATAGTTTGTTCAGGGCCCAGGACTAAATGTAATAAAAGAAGTAGAGGGGCTGGAGAGATGGCTCAGCGGTTAAGAACCCTGGGTGTTCTTGCAGAAGACCTGGGTTCGAATCCCGGCACACACGGCAGCTAACAACTGTCCATAACTCCAGTCCTAGGGGATCCGACAGCCTCTTCTGACCTCAGAGGGCATTGAACAACACAGGTGCACTTACCTACATGCAGGCAATACACGCACACACATAAAATTTAAAAATTAAAAAAAAAAGTAGAGAGTGAACACTTAAGAAAAATAAATGAAGCCAGGTGTGGTGGCATGTGCCTTTAATCCCAGCTCCTGGGAGGCAGAGGCAGGCAAATCTCTGTGAATTTGAGGCCTGTCTGGTCTACATAGTGAGTTCCAGGCTAGCTGGGGCTACAGGGAGACCCTGTCTCAAAAAAGACCCCCCCAAAAGGAAAGAAAAATAAATGAAATAGAAGAAAGACAATAAAAACAGAGGAGCGGGGCATGGTGGCGCACACCTTTAATCCCAGCACTCAGGAGGCAGAGACAGGCAGATCTCTGTGAGTTCAAGGCCAGCCTGGTCTACATAGGGAGTACCAGGACAGCTGGGGCTACAGGGAGACCCTATCTCAAAAGGCCTGGGGGAAAAAAAAAAAAGGATAAAAAGAAAAGAAAAACAGAGATAGGTGTGGTAGCTTAAGCCTGTAACCCTAGCACCCAGGAGGCTGAGGCAGGAAGATAACCATGAGTTCAAGGCCAGCTTGGGCTACAGTGTGAGACCCTGTCAAGAGAAGAAAAAAAAGGGGATGAAAAGAAAACAAGGAAACAAAACCTTAAGTAGGCGCATGCCTGTAACCCAGCACTGGAAAGGCTGAGGCAAGAGGATTCCTGAAAGTTTAAGGCCAGCCTAGTCCACACAGTGAGACCAGCCTGGGCTCTGGAGAGACCCAGTTTTTATTTTTGTTTTTTTGGTCTTTTTTGAGACAGGGTCTCCCTGTAGCTCCAGCTGTCCTGGAACTCACTATGTAGACCAGGCCAGCCTTGAACTCACAGAAATCCACCTGACTCTGCCTCCCAAGTGCTGGGATTAAAGGCGTGCCCCAACATGCCCCCCTTGTGAGACCCAGTTTTAGAAGACTAAAATAAATAAAAGCAAGCAGCAAACTCCTGCAGTATATCTTGCAAAGATTTACAAGAAAAGGAAATCTAATATTCAATTACAAAACTGAAGTAGTACAAATAAGTCAGCAAAAATCAGTGCTGTGAGCTGATGGGAAAGGGATTGGAGTTGGGTGGAGTTAGTCAATGAGGACTTTCCGGAAAAGGTGTTTTAAAGGAAGGGAGGGGCATGGGTTTGTCAAAATAAGGGTGAGGAGGTCATTCTACCAAAAATGCATGAGCAATGGTAGAGAAGAAAGAATGAGCAAGCTGAAAGGCCAAACAGTAAACAGGTTAGAAGACAGAGTTTATGTTAAAGGGTAAGAAAAAACAGCTCTGGGAAAATGGTAAGTATGGCAAAATCACAAACAGCTTAAAATGGTCATGAATCAATTTTGCTTTGACTGACATGATAAAGCCTTATGGGTTTTCACAATGAAAACATTTTGAGGAGCTGAGGTATAGTTGGATTAGAATAAAATAAAACTGCAGAGTTAAGAAAGAGGGAAGTTGCTGTAAAATTCTCAAGGAGAGCCAGACTCGGTGGTGCACGCCTTTAATCCCAGCACTCGGGAGGCAGAGACAGGTGGATCTCTGTGAGTTCAAGGCCAGCCTGGTCTACATAGTGAATTCCAGGACAGCTGGGGCTACAGGGAGACCCTGTCTCAAAAAGACCAAAAACAAAAATAAATAAATAAATAAATAAAATTTTAAAAAAAGAAAGAAAAAAGGAAAAGAGGGAAGTTGCTGTAAAATTCTCAAGGAGAGAAAAGCATGTTCTGCCAATTATTTTAGCTGTATGGTCTTGAGCAAGTCATTAATTTTCTATGTGTCAGGTTTTGTATCAATAAAACAGAATAATGTCCAACTTACAGAGTTTCTGAGAGCTTAATGTGTGAAAAGTGTTTAGCAAGTATTTAATAAATACTAAATAACAGTTATTGTTAGGTTGTTATGATTATTTCTATGGCTGAAGTGGTCATAGGAATGCATCCATATAACAAAAGATGCCATCACATCTTAGTTTGAAAGGTGTGCTGCTTTCTAGTCTGCCTTTCTAAACACCATGTAGGATTTAGAAGACAACAGGATAGAGTGAATGTCCAAAACTGTGCCGCCCATGTGTGACTATTGAACATTTGAAATCTGGCTAGTCAGAATTGAGATAGGCTATAAATACACAATACACATTGAGTCAGTCTAAAAAATATCTCATTAATACAATTGATTACATGTTGAAACTATAAGATTCTGGATATGTTTGGTTAAATAAGAAGCAATCAGCCGGGCCTGGTGGCACACGCCTTTAATCCCAGCACTTGGGAGGCAGAGGCAGGCAGATCTCTGTGAGTTCGAGGGCAGCCTGGTCTACATAGTGAGTTCCAGGACAGCTGGGGCTACAAGGAGACCCTGTCTCAAAAAAGACAAAAAGAAATAAAAATAAAAATAAAAAAAGCAATCAATTTAAATTGTTTCATTCTGCCTAGTATATCACAGAATATGGACAGTGCTAGCCTAGCACAACATTCTCCATTGAGTTTTAGAAACTAACGTTTGGGTCTACCTTATAAGTTTCTACAAAGGAATATGATTTCAGGAATAAATATCTTTCTCTTTTTAAAAAATTATTTTTAAATGTTTTTATTTATTTTATGTGTATGAGTGTATTGTCTGCATGTGTGTAAGTGTAGTGCGACGCTGGAGGAGGTCAGAAGAGAGAGGGTCAAATTCCTTGGAACTGGAGTTACAGACAGTTGCATTGTTAGTTGCCATGTGGGTGCTGGGAATTAACTCAGGTCCTTTGCAAGAGCAGTCAGTGCTCTTATCCGCTGAGCCATCCCTCTAGTCTCATACCTTTCCTTTTTTTATATATATATCTTTCTATACTTTTAAATATATAGGTCTAAATTTATGGAGTTATCTACAGAATGGAGAGAGCCACAGTAAATACACTATTCACAAGTCACAATTGGTGAAGTCTTTTTATTTAAGAAGGCAGAAACAAAGCAAAACAAAAACTAAGAAGCTGGGGGATGTAGCTCAGGGGCAAAGTGCTTGTCTACCAAGTACAAATCTATGGCTTTGATTCCCAGCATCACAAAAGGAAAGAAAAAAAAAAAAGGGAAACATAAGTATTTTATTAATTTATCATTGTTATTATTTTCTGGTGTATTTGTGTTAAGATCAGACCAACCTGGAATTCACTCTGGAGACCAGGTTGGCCTTGAACCCATGGCAATCCTCCTGCCTCAGCTTCCGTTGGTATTACAGGCATGTGCTCAGTCTGAAGCATTGTATTTTAAAATATTATATATATATATATAATATTGGGGGGGGTTCTTTTTGAGACAGGGTCTCCCTGTAGCCCCAGCTGTCCTGGAACTATGTAGACCAGGCTGGGCTTGAACTCACAGAGATCCGCCTGCCTCTGCCTCCCGAGTGCTGGGATTAAAGGCGTGTGCTACCACGCCCGGCTTATTTATATATTTTTATGTGAACGAATGAATGAATTGCTTGCATGTAAGTGCACCCGTGTCCTGCAATGCCTGTGGAGACCAGAAGAGGGTGTTGGATCCCCCGAACTGGCGTTACAGACGATTGTTAAGCTGCCATGCGAGTGCTGGGAATCGAACCCAGATCCTCTGCAAGAGCAGCCAGTGCTCTGAACCGCCGAGCCACCTCTCCAGCCCCAGCATTGCATTTTAAGCATTAAATCATGGAAACAAACGTCCTTCTAATGTTCGAAATCACCCCCTCTAAGATCCAAACCACACTAGCAGGCGCAATGACTTGGAGAACTAAAGCTTTTCTGATTAAATTCTCAAAGCATCCCTTAAACTTGCCACTTCATTGACGAAAAGGCCAAAGAGCCTCGAGGTTGGGTTTACAGAGCTGCTGTGGAGGCAGCATTCACAAGCCAGGCGGCGCGTAGTGCCCACTAGGGTGAGCGTCCCAACCTGGCTCGGACACCGCCTCTTCGCCCGGTAGGACAAGTGCGGTGCGCCCAGCTGCCCGCGCCCCGGGGCCCGCAGGCCGCGCCCTCGCCACCCCGCCCCTCTGTGCGCGCGCCCCGCGGGGCCGCGCTCGGCCCTCGGGGCCGCGCACGCAGGCGCTGCCACCTCCCTCTCAGCCCTCCTCCCTCCTGGAGGGCACTCCTCCTCGGCTCTCCCCTCCGCCCCTTTCCCCGTAGGCATCCCGCCCGCCCGCACTGCCGCCCTCCGGCCCCTGCACTCTGCTGGGTCTCTCCCCACCCCCAGGCTCCCCGGCTGCTCTCATCAGGCGGTCGCCCGCGCTCGGTGGATGTGGCTGGCAGCCGCCGCCCCCTCCCTCGCTCGCCGCCTGCTCTTCCTCGGCCCTCCGCCTCCTCCCCTCCTCCTTCTCCTCAGCCGCTCCTCTCGCCACCACCGCCGCCTCCACAGCCTGGGCCTCGCCGCGATGCCGGAGAAGAGGCCCTTCGAGCGGCTGCCCGCCGATGTGTCTCCTATCAACTACAGCCTCTGCCTCAAGCCCGACTTGCTGGACTTCACCTTCGAGGGCAAGCTGGAGGCCGCCGCCCAGGTACGGCGACCCTCGGGCGCCTGGGGCGAGCAGCTAGCGAGCAGTTAGGCCGCGCCCCCGGGTCGGACTGGAGGCCGGGGCCGGGAGGGCCTGTGGGCCCTGGTGCCGAGGCCCGGAGGCGACTCGGGTGCGGGAGCGCTCCTCGGGGCGGCCGCGAGGCCGGCGTGTTCTGCCCAACCGGGCAGGCGGGAGCCGCGGTGCGCCGCTGGAGCAGAGGGCCGGGCGCGGGGCCCCTCCTGGGCCAGCACACCTGTGTGCAGCGCCCCCGACCCCGGCCTTCCGGGCTGGGTCGTGCTTGGCGAGCGGCGGGGGTGGGGGCTGGGGACGCCGGAGGGGCCGGAGAAGTCCCCGCTCGGTCTCTGCCGCCTGACTCTGTTCTTTTTCCTGGCTGTTCCTACACCCCACGGAGGATAGATTGGAAGGGGCGGTCGTCTGGCTCTGCGGAGCGAGGAGGGAGCTTGTAGAAGGGGGCAGAGTGGAACGAGAATGTTAATCCCAGGCAGCCTCGCGGACTTCTCTCGGCCTGATCCAGCCCAGGGGCCGGCTTTGCGAGATGATCCGCCCCCTCCCCCTTCCCCTCAAATGACAGTGCTGCAGTGACTTTGTTCTCCTAACCTCTGGAGAAGCTGCGGGAGGACCCCAGCTCAGTTTCCTCGTGTCTTCATTGCTTGTGCAACCTTTGAAGCTGGATTTATTGCTGCAGTGATAGTTGCTTAGCAGTCAGTACCCTCCTCTGAAAGAAGCTGTCAGGTTTGGCATGCCACTGCTGAAAATATTCCATTACTCTTTGCAGTTTTTGGTGAAAAATACTCTCCTCCCTCCTCCCCGCAGCATTATCTTAAAGTGTTGTTTGATTTTGGAGACCGTTTAGTATAGATTTCCTCCAAAGGTCCCAAACAGATATATAACACACATTACATGCTGTGTTATGGGGAATCTGAAATGAGAATTGGGAGCTGTTTTAATAGCTGTGAAACGAATGGTGGTAAATATGTTTGGTTTCATTTCTTTGCCTCCTGCAGCTAAAGGTTGGGGAGCCAGAAGGCCTCAACCTGAAAGAGCTGGTCGTGTGTAGCAGTGAATTTAAAGAAACTGGAAAGAATTGGAAGTTGTCAGTTGTCCTTGAAAGCCAAGGAAATATGGCACTCAGTTTGAAAATTTGTGCAAAAGTACAGAATTTAAAAGTACACTGTTAGATTTGGGGCATTGGTTTGAAAGCATGAAGACTTTAGGTTCTGGTTGCATCAAAAGGCAGAACTCAATTTTGTGATAGTGAGGTGTCTCACAACTCTTCCATTAAGACTGTAAATCAGGATGAGTGCATGTTGGATCTAAATTAGGATTTGAGAGTATTATTTAGGAAACTATGGCTTCAGCCAAATGACTAGAGTTGTTTAATATATGTTGGCAGGGGGCAGATGGCAGGGATTGTAAACAGTGTGTATTGTGACTTGGAAAAACTTTGGAGGAAGGACATAGCCATGGATGAGTTTGAAGTATGTGAAAAGACTAACATTAAAAAGATTACATTGGGGGCTGGCTGGTGAGAGGTGGCTCAGCAGTTAAGAGCCTGACCTGAGTTTGGTTTCTAGCACCCACATCAGGCAGCTCACACCTCCTATAACTCCAGCTCGAGGGGTGCTCCCATACATCTGGCCTTCTTTTGACACCTTCCCTCTTTCTATCTCTCCCTCTCTGGCCTTCTTTGACACCTTCTCTCCTCTCTCTCTCTCTCTCTCTCTCTCTCTCTCTCTCTCACACACACACACACACACACACACACTTTTTTTTCGGTCTTTTTGAGACTGGGTCTCCCTGTAGCCCCAGTTGTCCTGGAACTCATTATGTAGACCAGGCTGGCCTTGAACTTACAGAGATCCACCTGCCTCTGCCTCCCGAGTGCTGGGATTAAAGTTGTGAGCTACACGCCCAGCTTTTTTAAAAAATTGACATAATGAGTTCATAATTCTGGAAGGTGTACCTATTGAGTGAAGAAATTTCAAAGGGAAAAAGTACATATTTTTTATTAGTTATTGAGTTTTGCTGGGGGCAGTAGCGCACACCTTCAGTCCCAGCACTGGAGAGGCAGAGCCAGCTTGGACTACATATTGAGACCCTGTCTCAAAAAAAAAAAAAGTAGGTTTTATTGAATTGTTAGAACAAGTAGTGACAAACTGCTGCTTACCCACCTTTTAAAAAATGTTATTATGGGGCCGGAGAGATGGCTCAGCGGTTAAGAACACTGGTTGTTCTTGCAGAAGACCCGGGTTCAAATCCCAGCACCCACATGGCAACTAACAACTGTCCTTAACTCCAGTTCCAGGGGTATCTGACAGCCTCTTCTGTCCTCCTTGGGCATTGCACGACACGGGTGCACTTACCTACATGCAGGCAATACACACATACACATAAAAAAAAATTACTATTTGTGTATGTGTGTATGGTGTACATATATGAGTGTGGGTGAATGCGTGCATGGCATGGCACAGTGTGTGGTAGAGATCAACTTTTGAGACTTACTCTTTCCTTCTACCCTGGGATCTGGGAATTGAACTCAGGTTGTCAGACTTCCATGGAAAATGCTTTTACCTCTTTTTTTCTACTTACCTAAAAAGATATGGAAGACTTTTCTGTCACTGAGGAAGCACATGGTAATATGTTAGGTATTAGCAGGGACTTAATTTGTTTACCTTTTCAGAAGGGGAGGGTCTTCTTGTATTGCCCAGTCTGGCCTTGAATGCACTATCCTCATGCGCAGACTCTAGAGTAGCTGGAGTTGCAGGTGCACCTTTGTGTCTGTCTGATTTGTTAATTTGATACAAGGAAATAAAGGATCTTTTTAGTAGGATGGACTTTCCAAAGTATTAAAAAACTTTTTTACATTATTTTGCATGCATGCACAATGTGTGTGTGTGTGTGTGTGTGTGTGTGTGTGTGTGTGTTGTGTGTTGCCATAGCATACTTGTAGAGGTCATAGAATAACTTGTGGGGGTCAATTCTGTCATTTTACCATGTGGGTTGTGGGGATTGAACTCAGGTCATCAGGCTTTAGAGCAGCAGGTGCCTTTACTGCTGAGCCATCTTGATGGCCCTCAGAATTTTTTTTCAGAAATTCTCCTCAGGCTAGGTGGCGGCATAAAGGTAGCATGATAGTGAATCTAACATAACAGGTTTATTAAGGATGATTTGACTTTCTAATTGTCCCTTTGGAAGTGCAAGGGTTGATGGTAGTTAAATAATTCTATATGTTGAAATTATAAGTTTATTTTGTTTCAAGTTTTAAGTTTAAATTGTGGCATTAGGTCCAGGCCTGGTGGGGCACGCCTTTAATCCCAGGACTAGGGAGGCAGAGGTAGGCAAATCTCTTGAGTTTCAGGCCAGCTGGGGCTACTGGGAGACTCTGTCTCAGAGACACCCCCCCAAAAAAATATTCTAAACCCCTAGAATTATTAATACATTAGGTCACTTTCCTAACAGTTGTTATCACATTACACAAAGTATTGCAAGTTGCTTCAGTTGCAAAATTTTATGATAAGACCAGTGTTTGTGCAAGTTACATATTAGAAACTAAGTGGATTTTTAACCTGGCCTAGGGTGTTGGACTCCTGTGAAAGGTGAAAAAATTAGACAATATGTAATGATTTAAAAATTGTCTTTTACATAGGTGACTCTTAGAAAACAGTCTGCAGGTTTTTGTTATGTGTTCGAGGCGAGGTCTCATTCTGTTCCAACCTGATCCCAAACTGTGTTTCCCAGACTGTCTTTAAACACTCAGCAGTCCTCCTGCCTCAGCCTTCTGAGCACTAGGATTATAGGTATGAGCTAGTTACCCAGCTTCTGGAGTTTTGGAAATATTTTGTTATAGGCTTAGAGAAATTTCTAGGCTCATAATTAGTTTATTTAATTCTCTTCTCTTTTATATTGAATAGTTGATATCAAGGGACTTTCTGTTATTTGTTTGTTTGTTTGTTTGTTTGGGGGTTTTTTTTTTTTTGGTCTCTTTGAGACAGGGTCTCCCTGTAACCCCAGCTGGCCTGGAACTTGCTATATAGACCAGGCTGGCTTTGAACTTACAGTGACCTGCCTGCTTCTGCCTCCCAAGTGCTGGGATTAAATGCATGTGCCACCATGCCCAGCTTTGTTTTGTTTTTGTTTTTTGGGTTTTTTTTGAGACATAGTCTCCCAGTAGCCCAGCTGGTCTGGAACTTACTGTGTTAGACCAGGCTGGCCCATGAGATCCACCTGCCTCTGTCTCCTTAGTGCTCAGATTACTGGTATGCACTAGCATACCCTGTTGAGATCAATGAACTTTTGTAGATATTTCACATTCTGACCTTCTATTATAGGCAATTAAATAAAGTGGATTATAGGTTTATATGAATGTGACCACAGATCCAGATTATGACTGTGTAGGGGTTGGCACAGGTCTCTTATGGAAATATTTTTATCTGTATCAGAGAAACCAACTTTATGCATGAAATCCAGAAATCAGGATATATTGGCCAGTCTCTGGCTCCACCAATACCATGTTCATGCTGGAGATGGCTAAGTTGGCAGTAACAGTCTCACAGATACAGGAGTTTGTTCAGCAGACTGACAACTTGGCATCTAAGTAAATGATATTGTCAGCTTGGTGTTAATAAAATTTTTTTGCTCAAATTTTTCGTATTTTCCCTGTAGTCATTGATGACAGTTTTTTGGTCTTTTTGAGACAGGGTCTCCCTGGAGCCCCAGTTCCAGCTCCATTGGCCTGGAACTGGCTATGTAGACCAGAACTCACAGAGATCTGCCTGCCTCTGCCTCCCGAGTGCTGGGATTAAAGGCATGCGCCACTATGACTGCCTGCCTAATGGCAGTTTTATTATTAATTATTATTATTAATTTTAGAAAAGCAATATTTGTTAGCATTATGTCAGATGATTAATTGGTCTTAAATTTTAGGTGTTAAGGGGGATAGCTTAGTGGTAAGAATATGTGCTTCAAGGACTTGACGTCACTGC